GATTTTTCAAAAATTTATTTAAAAAAAAGTACTAACTAGCAAATGTTTTTTATTAGCTCGCAATTTTCTTCAAAACTACTTCAATGAGGAAAAAAATAAAAATTTGGAATATCTATACTTCAGGGCTAATTGATCGGATCTCAATTTTTTTTCAAAAATCACCATCAGCGCCCCCTACATTCCCTCCACCCCCACCCGGAGAGGACCACCCGCGCAGCCGAATCCCACACACACTCTCGCCAAGTGTAGTCAAGTGTAGTATCCAAAATTAGTAAATAAAGATGGTGGAAGAGGCCGAGTTGTGTGCCGTATCGTTTCTCGCAGAACGTCTTACAAAATGAAGTGGAAACAAATGGAGAAAACGACTGACTGGTCATTAACACGGCTACCAGAGCCCCGGGTTATTTAATTACCTCAAAATCACCGATAATTTTTGTGTAAACACTTGTGAATAACACGTGATTCGGAGTAGAAAAAGAGCCGACAGGATTTTTAAAAAATTACACCCCGAGAAAACGGCGAGACTGAGGGAGAGAGACGGAGATAACTAAAAATTCTGAAAAGGTCCAGTTGCATGAGAGGATAATTTAGCTCCAGAGTTCACGGTAAGGGATATTAAATTTGTTCTATATTTAGGTGAGCTCGAGATTCTCATTGAGTTGTCGTCGTAGGAAAAATAGTGAATAAAAGAGGGTTATTTTTTTCCCTCGGCAATTTATCGAGTGAATTATTCTTAATCCCACGAAGACGTTGAGGAAATTTTGATGATGTGTGGGTGGCTTCAAGTGCTCAACGACTCGACCGAAGAAAGTTTAGTGTCCCTGTTATGCTCATCACCCACACAAAGCTGCAATGTCCCCCTTTCACCAATTATTATTTTTATTCACGAGGAGAAATAGATTGGGGAATTTTTTGTTTATTCATCGCTGGGGGATTATGGGGAATTGCCTCGGGGGTTCTGAGGGTAATCCACTGGTCTAGTCGGTGTAAGGGCTTAACTAAATATCAGTTGGCTATTTCGGTACTCGGGGAACCTACATACCGATCTTGCTGAGAGATACTCAACTTGCATTACATGTTTAGAGGTTTTGAGTCAAGAGTATTGACAGGATGGGCTTCGGGGGTTGACTGAAGGGGTTTGGGGGGATGGGGTCAGACCTGGTGGAGCAGAATTCGGTGATTTTTCACTGGTCGGTTTGGAGTTTTGTTGATGAGGGGGGGTTGGAGGACGCAACCCCAAGCACTCCAAAAAATTTCTAATCTGTGATTTTTTTTCCATAGACCTTTTCATCCTGAGAGTCACCAGATTTCCCGACACTTTTCTCATGTTAATTCCCCCAGGAGTTTCGGACACTTTTACGGAATTTACGTAGGGGAGAGGGGGGTAAAATGGACACTAGACTTTTGTTTTAATTACTCATAACTCAGAAACAAATTTATCAATTGAATTCTGTTTAAGCGCATCACAAAGGGAAAGAATTGTTCTTTGCAATGAAAAAAATATGACATTTTATCAACATTTCAACCCGTCATTAAAATTAAAAAAAAAGTCAAAAGTGTCCATTTTACCCCAACTCCCCCTAATAATTATAATTTTTATTTATTTTTTCGAAGATTTTTCAGTTAGATGAACGGAATAAATATTTTTAGAATGAAAAGGTTAATTCAAACTTGAGACCTGTTTTCTCTCATTGGCTTTATATGAATCCTGTGATTTTTTTCAACTGATATTATCTGACAGAATTGTCTGCTTCATGTTAATTACAATTTTGCTAAATTCGGGGGGGTTTCTTGTTGGGAATTTCGTGAACTACGATAAAGGTCTCTTGATCTCTTGATATTTTTGGTCAAGAATATTGACAGAATGAGTTTTGATGGGAGAGGAATGATTGAGGGGATTTAGGGAGGATCGGGTCAAACTTGGTGGAATAGAATTCTTCAACTTTTTACAGTTCGGTTTGAAGTTTTGTTGATGATGAGGGGTTCAAGGATTAAACCACATGCACTCAAAACAAATTTTTCTCTATCCAAATTCGGAGCTCTAATTTCGCTCATTGATTTCGTAATTATGAATCCTACGGTTCCTTTCAGCTGATATGATCTCACAAAATTGTCTTTCTTCATGTTAATAAAAATTTGACTCCATTCTGAAGTGTTTCTCGTTGAGAATTTCGTGAGCTACGAAAAAAATTTCTCAATATTCTTGGTTACGAATCTCGACTGGATGGGTTTTAGGGGATTTGACTTTATATTATATTGAGGGGATTTGGGGGATGGGATCAGACTTGGTGGAATAGAATTCTTCAATTCTTTACCGTTCGGTTTGAAGTTTTGTTCATGATGAGGGGTTCAAGAATTAAACCCCATGCACTCAAAACAAATTTTTCTCTATCCAAACTCGGAGCTCTAATTTCGCTCGTTGATTTCGTAATTATGAATCCTACGGTTCCTTTCAGCTGATATTATCTCACAAAATTGTCTTCCTTCATGTTAATAAAAATTTGACTCCATTCTGAAGTGTTTCTCGTTGAGAATTTCGTGAGTTACGAAAAAAATTTCTCAATATTCTTGGTTACGAATCTCGACTGGATGGGTTTTAGGGGATTTGACTTTATATTATATTGAGGGGATTTGGGGGATGGGGTCAGACTTGGTGGAATAGAATTCTTTGAATTTTCCCAAGTTGGTTTGGACTGTTATTGATGAATCTAGGTCTGAAGATGTTTATCTAAAACTCCAAGCGCTCAAACAATTTTCTATTTTTTTATCTAATAGGCAAAGTTATCTTCTTCATGTTGATGAAAATTTTAATCCACTTTGGAGCATCTCGTGTGGGGAATTTTATAGGCTACGAAGAAGATCTCTTCATATTTTTGGTCGACAGTATTGAGAGAACGGGTTTTTGGCGGTCGATTGAGGAGATTTGGGAGGGGTGAGGTCAGACGCGGTGGAGTAGATCTGTTTGAATTTCACAACCTGTTTTTGGAATTTTATTGATGATCAGGGCTTTAAACGGACAACGTTGGCCTTATTGGAAATTTTTGGAACTGCGAAAAAAATCTCTTGACATTTCTCGTCAAGAATATGGATAGGATGGATTTTGGGGGGCATGAGGGGGTTTAAGAAGAATGGGGTTAGACTTGATGAAATAGAATTATTTGATTTTGATGAGAAATTTAAAGAGAAAATGACTGAGGAATACCAATTCTTTACCGGAAATTTCGTAAACTACGAAAATATCTCTTGATATTTTTCGTCAAGAGTATTGAGGGAAGACGTGAGGGAATGGAAATGTTTGATTTTTCACAGCTCGTTTTGCGCTTCCCTCAATGATTTAAAGGGATTTGAAGCGACATTTTTTTATTAGTTTCTTGTTATTGCATAAATGACTGAGGAAGTATCCTAAATTTGTCTGAGATAAAAAAATAACTCATGTTTTCCGTTCATGTCTCGAAGTGCTCCTATTACCACAGGTAATGAATTAGATTAACCGATAGTGCCTACGTGACGAGCGCGTCAATGCGGTTGATTCCAAATTAAGTAACGTCGCATGTAATGTGGTTACTTGCTAAAATTGCTAATTGCTTTTCTTACGCACAATGACCTGCGTATGACCAGCAGCACATCAGTCAGTCAGGTTCAGCTCCGTCTCATGTCACTGACTTTTACAAATATGTCATCAATTATTGATGCTGTCCTGAGAAAAAAAAATACTTCTGCCAAGTAAATTTACTTGTCACAAGTAAATGTATATAAATATTTGAATTTGTGGATATGAATGTGTGGATTTTCTTGTAGTTAGTGAATTTACTTGGTAAAAGTAATTTTTTTTCTCAGTGTACTGAACACTGACTAGAATAGCCCTGATCATCAGTGAAATTTCGGAAATTATCATACAAAATTTCTATGCATTTGTATCTGTGATTATACAAAAAAGATCTATTGATATTTTTCATCAAGAGTATTGGCGGATGACTTTCGGGGGGATCGATTGAGGGGATTTGGAAGGGGTGGGGTCAGACGTGAGGGAATGGAAATGTCTGATTTTTGACAGCTCGTTTTGCACTTCCCTCTATGATTTGAAGGGAAAATTTTTGGGGAATTTCTTGTTACAGTTATAAATGACTGAGAAAGTACCTTAAGGCCCGGGTGTACTATCTTTCGAATGTTATCTGGATTTTTTTCATCTTTCGTAATCCAAAATTGTCAATTGAGTGGTACATCATGTAGAAATTTCCAAAAATTATGATAGAATGATTAAAAAAATGAAAAAAATTCTGAACTTTTTCAAAGAGCGTTTTTAATTGAGATTCAGAATGAGTTGAAAAAAGTGGAAATTACAAATATGTGATTCGCTGTGGCAAATTATCTATTAGCTGGCATTTTTCATGGTGGATAACAAAACACTAACTCCTCATGGGAAATGACAGCTAGGTATCTCAATTTTCAAAACAGTGGTATGTATTCATCTGCCGTTTTTATGTGATAAAAGTGTGATTAAAAAATTCTCCAAAATATTACAACTTTTTTCAAAGAGCCTTATCCGCAGTAAATGTCTCTGTGCAGTGTGGGAAAAGATTTACGAAATCAATCTGCCCCCTGCATGATATTGGGTGACAGGCCGCCATTTGTCACCGTAAATCAGATACATTTTTCAATTTCTTGTTATTCAACTTATTCTGAATATAAATTAAAAATGCTCTTTGAAAAAATTAAGAATTTTTGCTACTTTTTTTTTGATTATTCATTCATAATTTAGAAAGAGTCATAAAGAGTGAACATTCAGTCAAGATAAATCCAATTTTGAAGTTGTTTCGGTATGATCTTCGATTACTATGTTCACATTGTAATTTATAAATTTATATTCTCTTTGTCTGAATATCCTGAAAAGAGTGGGTCGTATTTTTCGTGGAATAGAAAAGTTGAGAGGTAGTTTCTATTGGAATCGCAGTGTTTTGACGGTTTGGAATGGAGTACTTGTCTTGATGGTGTATTTTGAAGGATTCGGAGAGGTAGACGAGTCAGTGATCCATCGCGCTCAACCGGAACGATTGACCAATAAATTTATTAGCCACGCATTCCATATTTAGTCTCGCCAGTGATGTCATTACAGCGTGTACGTCGCTGATGACGAATACCGTGTGAACGGTCTGAAGAAATTTTTGGTCTTAGACTGTTGGAAATTAATTTAAATTTCATGGATAACTCAGTAGTAATTTTCAGGGGAAGGAAATATCGAACGCAGGGATAGGCAATAATATTAGATTTTGACAATATTAAAATGGAATTGTCTCCTCATATTGTTCAAAGTTTAACTATATTTAACTAATTTAAAATATTATAGAATTTATTGGCTAAATTCTCCGATTGATGGTGAATAAAATATTTGATAATACTGAAATGTAATTTTTTAGTTAACGAGCTAATTCCAACTTTAGGTACTTGATTTTGGATTATCCAAATAATCGCCAATCTTCCTACCTAAATTATTGGTTGATAGAATATTACGAAAGTTAAATGTACAAATTAATGGTTGCTTTAATATACAAAATTTTCAAGATTTATTTAAAAAATTGACAACTTCACAATTCAGCGGTAATTATGA